TTATTTCTGTGATGCGCAGCTGTATTTTCAGCATCATTACTCCAGTCTTCAGTGTCACATGATCCTCAGAAATCATTCTAATATGCTGATTTGCTGCTCGAGAAACATTTCTGATTATTATCAATGTTGAAAACAGTTGTGCTGCACAATATTTTTGTGGAAACTGATACATTTATTTTTCAGGATTCATAGATGAATAGAAAGTTCAAAAGAACAGCATTTATTTGAAATGGAAAACTTTTGTAACTTTTAATCAATTTAATGCAGCCTTGTTAAATAAAAGTATTAATTTCTTTTTCTTTCTTTCTTTTTTTAATGTCTTTGCTTCCTTAAAAATATTGGGCAGCACAACTGTTTTTAACATTGATAATAATCAGAAATAATTTCTGAAGGATCATGTGACACTGAAGACTGGAGTAATGATGCTGAAAACTCAGCTGCGCATCACAGAAATCAATTGGATGCTCATAAAAAGGTAATTTTTCAAAGTAATTTTTTTCAATTCATTTTTGCTGCATGGTTAAAAATATACGCTATTTTAGTTCCCGTCACTCCACAACAAATAATTTAAACTGAACAATATTTGGAACGGAACAAGAATGAAAAAATTAAATTATAGTGTAACTTTACATATAAAATAAAAACAATAAAAACACTTCCATTCATTATAAACAACATATAAATGTTGTCAAAATTAATTTATTTAAAGTGAAACTAGTGAAACTATGAGCTCACCTCTCTCATTTCAAATGTCAAATAAATGCAGCCTTGCTGAGCAGAAGAGACTATTGCTGTAAGTATAAAACAACCCTGTGGACTGCTCTGTTTGTCCTCAGCTGAATGAAACGGCGAAGCAGCTGATGGAGATGGACAAACCGTCCGCGGCCCCGGGTCCGAGCGCAGAGTCTCCCGCCGCCGTCAGCTGTAACGGGAACGCCGTGCACAGACACGCCGAGGGGAAGAAGAATGCCAAGAAGCGGCACTCATTCACGGCGCTCAGCGTGACGCAGCGCTCGGCGCAGGTGCTGGGAAACAACCGGCACTCGATGGAGATCAGCGCACCTGTGCTCATCAGCTCCTCGGACCCCCGCGCCGCCGCTCGCATCGCAGACTGCCCACACCTGTCCTCCAGCGCACCGGCCACACAGGTACAGACAAAGATCTTATGAAGACAATGAAGCAGACACTTACATTAGAGTACATTTTAAAATATTGATTAAATTGTTAGTGTTTTTTGCCTTCATTGTACTTGATTACTGAAAATAAATTTGCATTAAATCATAAATCCAGAAAAATTTAAAATAAAAAGTTCAGTTAATGAATTCATTTGCTTTTTGATTATTAGAAGTTAATTCAAACAGAATCCAGAAAAATTAAAACACAGAATTTAGGAAAAAATAAAACAGAATGTGTGAAAAAATTTAATTAATTTTTTTGTCAGTTTTGTGAAAAATCATTGAATAAATTGTTGCTAAATTGAATAAAGTTTCACGATTGCAACTAATTAGGCATGTTAAACTGAACTAAAATGTTATTTAACAATTAAAATGGAATACAGAAAAATTTAAATAGAAAAAAAAAGAATTAAAAAACAGAATTTTTTGAAGAAGCAAAATTAATTTAATAGGGCCCTAAAAATTACATTTTTGTAAAACTTTTTATAAATTGTTAAATTTGATCAGTTTCATGACTGTAATTACTAACTTAGGTGTGCTTTTTGAATTCTGAAATTCAATTTAAGAATTAAAACAGAATCCAGAAAAATTGAAACACATAATTTAGGAAAAATAAACCTAAAAAATTTAAATAAATTTCATGGAGCCTTAAAAGATGCAAGTTTTGTCAAACATCATTAAATAAATTGTTGCTAAATTGAATAAAGTTTCACGATTTCAACTAATTAGGCATGTTAAACTGAACTAAATTTGAATTTAACCATTAAAATGGAATCTAGAAAAAATAAAACTGAA